ATTCAGTGACTGGGATAATTGGGATGGGAGTGTCAGAGACAGTGCAATTGGCACAGGACAGAGCGGAGTTTAGGGCTGTTGTACATAGGGTCGCTATGAGTCGCAAGCGACTAGACAGTCAATCAAACACAGACATTCCTTTGGTACTTTCTCTTATCAGTTATAATTGGCTATAATGTCCCTAGTGCCACAGCCTCCTTTAAACACAGCCTGTACATCTGGAATTTCTCTGTTGATGTATACTTCTCCTGTCCTTTTTGGATAATCTGCAGCAGGATCTTGTTTGTATATGATATGCAAATTAGATATAATACAAATTATATATTTCATATATATGTTAACTATTCTGCATACCTTTCTGTAGCTTAATTTTCAATGGCAGATTATGTCAGTGAGATAGATTTAGATTTGATACATGCAGCAGGAGTCCATATTTGTTTCACTAGAAGTGTTTTTATGTTGTGGTCCTAAGTGTGAGCAGAGAAGAAGTCGGAGATAAAGAGAGGAATCCACTTCAAGGCCCTAGCTTAGTGTTCCAAGTGGTTATCCTGGTTTTATCCGTGAGTCAGCTGCAAGAGTTGTAATGAAAGCTGGCTGGCAGAGGATGCTAATCATAATGAAAGAATTGGAATTTCTATAGAAAACCTGGAATTAACTCAATATGGAATCAGGATTGGAGGAAGGATCATCATCAATCTGCATTATAACTCTACTTGTAGAAAGTGAAGAACACTTGAAACACTTGTGGCAGAATATTAAAGACTTATTGTATACTGTAGAGTTGGAATTGACCCGTAGCTGTGGCTTTCCCCCTCCATTGGCTTTTCGGAGGTGGTTAATTGCAAGGGAGGAGATTGCCCAACCTTCTCCCACAAAGCAGCTGGTGGCCTCAAACTGTGTGCCATAAAGATTGCAGCACAGTTTTTCACCTCTAGGCCACCAGAATAACAAAGACTATAGCCTCCAACATAAATTATATCTGGACATCAAGTAAACAAAAGTCCTCACCACTAAGCCCATAAGCAACATCATGATATATGGAGAAAAGATTGTAGTGTCAATCACTTATCTTGCTTGGATCCACAATCAACACCCTTGGTACCAGTCATCAAGAAATCAGAAGACACACAGCATTGGAGAAATCGGTTGTCACAGACCTCTTCAAAGTGCTAAGGAGCAATGATGTCAATTTAAAGATTATGGGGCACCTTATCCAAGCCACCACATTATTTTTTCAGTTGCTTCCTATGAATCTGAAAGTTGGACGGTGACTGAGGATGACAGAGGAGAATCACTCCTTTGAATTGTGAGGTTGGAGAAGGATACTCAATATCCCATAGACTGCCAAAAGAATAAATCTTTTCTGGAGGAAGTGCAACCAGGCTCCTTAGAGACACAAATGGTGAAACTATATCTCATACAGTTTGGACATATTTTCAGGAGCAAGCAATTCTTGGAGAGAGGCATATTGGAAAAGGTAAAGAGTCAGCAAAAGAGAGGAAAACCCTTCGCAAGGAGAACTACTGATACAGTGACTACAACAATGGGTTCGCGCATAATAGAGATCATGAGGATGGAACAGGACAGGCCATGGTTCAGATCTGCTGCTCGTTCTGCTAACAGCAACAACAAGAAAGAATATTTTATGTTAACAGCACATAGTAAATATTTTATCCTCAGGGTGAAAGATGGGCAATCTCCTCCTACACGATTTACAGCCTCTGAAAACCCACTGGAAGGTCAGCTATGTGAGGCTCCAACTTTATGGCAATGACTTTCAGTGTTTTGAAGTGTTTAGTAAAAGCGTATTTATTGGTTGAAAATGTTTCAGTTTTGTTCAGTTGGATATATACTAATGTTAAAAAAAAGGAAAAAGAAAATACACTTTTAGCGGTATTATGAGGAAAATGGCCTAATTTATTTTTTTTTCTCTCTCTCTCTCTTTTTTTTTTTTTTTTTGTGTGTGTGTGTGTTTTCAGGATTCCATCCAGCAGATCTGGTTCCTCCTGTATAGCTTGCTGAAGGATTAAAATTGAGTATCATTAGTGAAACTCAGTTGCCACCTGAGTGCACACCACAGCAAAGGTTTTGGAGACCCTTTTCTGTTGAAACAATGACTTTCTTTGATTGTAATCCCAGTGGAGCCTATTTTTTGGGTAGCCTGAAAAAGCACATAACCACCATTGGCAATTCTGCAGTGACCTTCTAAAAATCACCTCACTCTCAGAAATTGACTTGACCTTGAAGTCACTAGCAGGACTTAAAAAATTGTGACTGCTGACTGATTCTCTGGAACAGTTAGGCACTGCTATTCAGAGCTGCAGCTGCGATACCATGTCTAAGAACTCGGAGTTCATCAATCTGTCGTTTTTATTAGATCATGAGAAGGAAATGATCCTGGGAGTCCTAAAGAGAGATGAATATTTGAAAAAAGTGGAGGATAAGAGAATAAGGTAATATTTGTTTATCGTTCCTTTCTTGATTGCCTTCTGCTTGCTTGAAGCAATTTTAGATCAGAAATGAGCTAACTGAAACCACACTGGAGACTAGTGACTTCATGAGTTCCCAGCAGTAGCCCCGCTATTATAATGTATCTCTTGCATTTTGTCCCTTAGTCAAACGGGAGCATGGGGTCGGGCTAATAATAATATGTTATTGAGAGTGCCTATTTGGCAACAAGATCCTAACAATAAAGAATGGTCAAATTTAAGTATAAGCATGAACTCTGGTATGTATTAGCTCTGTGACTGTGAGCAAGCTACTGAATTTCTCTATGCCTCAGGTTTGTGATAAACCCAAAGTAATAATATTTACTCCATAGGAATGTTGTAATGAATAAGCAATATATATATTATATATGTCTGCCTGACACATAAGTGCTCAATAAATATTAGCTATCACTTTTTTTAATAATTTTAATGAACATTTACTGATAATTTAGATTTCCATTCATTCGTTGCTGCACTTCTCTACCCTCCCAGCCCTCTCCCCCCGCCCCCCAGTTCACTCCTCTCTTTTAAAAGTAAAAGAAAGACTCCCTCCCTGGTACACAATCCCCCCGCACTCCTCCCACCACCCCAAGTACATTCTACTATGCAACCGTAATTGTATCACTTCTTTTTAATGTCCCTTTCAGATCAGTCTTACTGGGGAATTGCCTCTACATAGTTGGGAAAAGAGGGAAATTTGGAAGTGAAAAGATTCTATCTCAGAAATAAGTTTCTGTTTTTTGGTGTGGAAAATCTAACAATATGGTACAAATGGGTTTCACATGAGTTGTAGAGAGGATCAGTCGTTAGGTATTTCTCACAGTACGACTTTACCCATGTTTCAGGTAGCATCTTTTCTTGTAGGTTGCATTATCTAAGTAACCAAAACATCATTCTAATTGGATGCAACATCCATTTTGATTGGTTGTGTCATTTACTCTGAACGGTCAGAACATCATTCTGAGTGTTGTGTGGTCCATTCTGAGTTGCTGATTATCTATTGTGAGTGGCCACAACATTGTTCTGATGTTGTTAAGTGCCATCAAGCTGAGTACAACTCCTAGTGACCTATGAACAACAGACCTGAACCCTATTTTATCCTGTGCCATCCTTATCATCTCTGATACACTTAAGCCTGTTGCTGCAGTCACTGTATCAATCCACCTGGTTGAGGGTCTTCCTCTCTTTTGCTGACCTTCCATCTTTCATCGCCTCTCATAATTTCTACGTGTTGCTAGGAGAGGCTAATCCTTAGAATGGGACATTATGCTTGGAAAGATAAAGAGTATTATAGTTTTCAATATTTAATCCAATGAGTTGCTGTCTCTATTGTGCTGATGTGTAAATATATTTGGTGTTGTCTCTCACTCCTGAAGAAAGGAGCATAAATAAAGATAATTCCCTCCTCATTGTTGTCATCTGTGTAGCATGGCTCCCAGAACTGCAGCCAGAAGTTTGCATTTCTTTTACTGTAGGATAAAAGGTGTCATAAGATTGTCTTCACACATGATTTAGGAGATAAGCTTTCTTAGTCTTAGTAAGATAAGAAAATATTCTTTCTAATTTCATAGGTAAGAGCTCAGAGTCTTCCTTTCCACTTGGCCAAGATATTAAGCCAATATTGAAGAAACAAACTTTGATTCAACTACTGCACTTTTTCCGTGACTGTTCAGCCATTTCCTAGAGCTACCAAAGCAAAGGACCACAAACGAAGTAGCTTAAAAGAAAATCAGGTTTTTGTCACATAGTTCTATCTGAAATGAAGGTGTTGACAGGATCATACACTTACCTCTTGCTTGCTTTTAGTGGTCTCCCATAATTCTTGTCATTTATTTGTTTATAAATGCTCAGTTTCAATATTCTCAGGATTTCATCTCTCTGTGTCTGTTTTTGGATCATATTAGATTAGGCCCTATCATACTCCAGTATGATACCATGTGAACCTAATTAATAACTTCTTTAAAGGTCTTATTTTCAAACATAGTTGTTAGAGGATTACACAGTTGTTACATGGGTTAGTAGAACAAGGAATGCCTCTAGCGAGGGCCATATTGCCATAACTGGTACCTGGTATCCTAGAACCCTTGGTATGGAAAAGCTGCTGTATGTACCTGATTCCCTTTTACCAAATATATAGCTACCTTGCACAAAATGCTCTTGGGTGAAATATGGTTTGCTTTGCCTTAGGGCCTATCTCATCTCCACTTGCAAGATATTTTCTCTTTTAATAAAAACTTCCATTTGTGGTAAATTTGTCTCTCTTAATCATTCTTACTAGTGGGAGAAGGAGATATGCTCATTTAGGTCCTGCAAGGAGGTCACATTCACAGCTTTTTTAGGCAACACAGTTCAATACATAATAATGTAGAATTCAGGTGGTGATGAAATAATTGTAAAGAAATCAAAAGTGATATTTTAATAGGAGACGTATTGTACTGGGAAAGTCTAACAGTTAGGGCTGTCTCCAAATAACTGAGGAACAATGATGTCAGTTTGAGGACTAAGGTGTGCCTGATTCAGGTCCTAGTCTTTTCAATCATTTCCTATGTATCTGAAAGCTGGACAGTGAATAATGGTTACAGAAAAGAATCAGTGTCTTTGAGTTGTAGTGTTGGACTGAATATCTATGGACTGTCAAAAGAACACACACATGTATTGCAGAAAGTGCAACCGAAGTGCTCCTTAGAGGCAAAGATGACAAAGCTTCTTCTCATATACTTTAGGCATGTTGTTAGGAGAAGCTACTCCTTGGAGAGGGACATCATGCTTGGAAAGATGGAGGGGAAAGATCCTCAACCAGATGGATTGACAATTACTGTAATAGACTCAAGTATGTGAGAAATTATGAGGATGGCTCTGGACAGAACAAAGTTTAGATACAAAGAACTCATAGGGTCTCTATGAGTTGTTCTTCACTTAACGGCACCTAACAACAAGAGTCTAGTCATGAAAAGTGAATAATTTTTCTAATATAATGCAAAAAGCTACATAGTTTATGGAAGGTATAAGATCATTATTGATTACATTCTCAAGAGAATTAAAAATTACTACCTTCAGGAGGAAACAATTTAATAACAACATTGTATGAAACATAGAAGTAAATAAATAATACTTGGTTCAGAGTATTTTTTTAAAAAATTTTATTATTTTTGTGTGAGTGTACCATCAAATCAGATCTGACTGGTACAGGAGGAGATTGTCCCTCCTTCCCCGGCAGAGCATCTGGTGGATTCGAACCGTGCACCTCTGGGATTGTAGTTGCAGCTCCTTACCACTAGGCCACCAGAGCTCCCCTGGTTCAGAGTATTTTTTCCATCAGTTTTAATAATATTTGGTAGTAAATTACTGTATTTGTCCTTATTTCTTCACACCCCCCCCCATTTTCCTTCTCTTGCCTTCTTTCCTTATTTCCTGTGAAGAAATGGAGCCCTGTTGTAGGTGACAGGGTGCTTAAGGACATACTCTTGAGTCATGCATTTAGGATTTAAATTTCAGTTCCACAATGAAATTCTTGTGTCCTTAGACAGACTGCTTCCCTAGGTAAATCTAATTTCCTCACTTGAAAAGCAGAAATTATAACATTAGCTACTTTATAAAGTTATTATAAAGATTAAGTTAAAATTATGAAGAGTTTAGACTAATTCCAAAATACAGCAAGATCAATAGTTGCTGGCTATAGTAATTGAACTCTGTTTGTTGATTTGCATTTCTCTTATTAGTTGTTGTTCACACTTTCTTTTGTTACACCTACGTGTGTGCGCTTCCTCTATTTCTGCCTGTTTCCAAGTTAGAGTCCCTGGATGATGTAAGTAGTTAATACATTTGAAGGCTAATATTCAGGCTTACACAGAGTCACTTTGAAAGAAAGATTTGCTGATCCATTTCCTGAAGAATCTTCAATTGAAAACCCTATGATGGAGCCCACTTCTGTTTTTACACACATGGAATCACCAAGAGTTACAATCAACTCTGTGGCAAAGAATTTTATTTTTCTTTTACTTCTAGGGACTTGTTTTTGGGAAACTGGAGTTCTTCATAGGATTTCAGAGCCATGATTGCAGCCTACTGGAAAAGTCAGAGCCAATGACTAGCAGGTATAGGAACCCCTTTACTTAAGGCTGGATTCACTTTGCAATGTAGTTGATACTTTAGAGCTCCTCATGGGATCAGGCTGCAGCACAACTTTACCTAGAAATAACATTTTGGCTTAACCCCCTCTTTTTTTCAGTTTTTTTCCTGAGGTCATTAATTCAATTACTCACATGCACCCAAATCCACACCTGAGAGTCAGCTTGTTCATAACCCAATCAGAAATACTACTCAAATTTATATTCTGGGGATAATTACTAGTTAACAATATTAGTTTCAAGGGAAACCTTTAATAAGCTTAATCTGTATTAAAAGATTTTTGGTCCTTTTGATTTACAATTGTCCAGAAATTTTTATTATAGACACTGATGTTTATATGCTGTTAAAGAAAGCCAAGGGAGGCACTATATCCCAAGCTTAAAGATCTTGTTTAGATAGCATAATCTTCTATTAACTGACTTTTCTCCTTGTATTGCTCAGATTTTTCTACTATTTTTAGGGAGCACTTGTGGCTTAGTGTTAAAAAATTGCACTGCCAACCCAAAGGCATGTCGCTCAAATCCACAAGCTGCTCCATGAGAGAAAGATGATCAATCTCCTCAACTCGGTTCTGACTCCATGACAAACAACAATAACAACTGTGAGTTTTAAATACAGTCTAAGTAAATTCATAGCCGCTCAATACTGCCTTAGTAGGGCTACTTTACACTTAAATTCTGTAAACATTTTTTATTACCTGATTTATATTAAGGAGTCCTAGTAGCATAGTGGTTGGTGCCGCAATCAGTTTGAAAGAAGCCTGTTAGCTGGGATTGGAAGGAGTTGAATGTTGATTCCCTAACAGAAGTGAGGCAATGAGATAAGGCCTCCTATTT